AATTATTTAAATTTAGATACATTAATAAATAACACACAGATTGAGGAGCACTATAATTATGCCATGAATAATAATAAAAATTATATTAAAAATAATAAAATTCTTATTATATCGTACAGTACAATAGATGTGAATATGTTTTATGTATAATCATGTACTTGGATTTATAGGATGATGGTGCCACAACACCGTTTGTAAAACTCCCTCATCGAGGTTGGCAGACCTATCAGGTTAAAATTTTCTGCTATAAAATAGGGGAAACTCTATATTTTAGAGCTCAGTTGATTTCGTATACTTTATGTGTACCTACATATATATTGTTCGGAATAAATTTTATAATTACGTTAGAGTTTAAGTATAACTGTTACTGAGCACATACACGTACATGTAATGGATACTGAAAGCACGTTTCTCACTGGGATGATTGTTGACATACAGGGNACATGTAATGGATACTGAAAGCACGTTTCTCACTGGGATGATTGTTGACATACAGGGTCTAATGTCTGCGGATCATTTATTTTTGGTTAAAGAATTGTCCGTCATCGCTCTGGACTCTACATGTCTCTCTCACTGGGTATTTAAACATCCAAACACCGTAAAGGATGATAAGAAAACCACATACTGGTTAAAAAAGTACCATCATGGCTTGGACACGAACATTTGCGATATCGAATACTCTTATATGTATAAATTTATAAAAAAAATAAATAAATAAACAAAAAAATTGTTTTTTATTATTATTCATGGCATAATTATAGTGCTCCTCAATCTGTGTGTTATTTATTAATGTATCTAAATTTAAATAATTTATAAAAAAAAAAAAAAAAAATTAATTATTTAATATATGTGTTAGTTATTTTATATGTTATACTTACTCGAAACTATTTCTTCTTCACCAATCTCTTCTTCTGAGGAAGATATTTCATTTTCAATCAAGTAGTCTTGGTCATCTTCAGCTAAAGTAGAGTAAAACATATATTTTTTTTTCCCCATATAATATTTATATAATATATATTTACATACAAAAGAAGTTTTTCTTTAAAAAAAAATGAACAGAGTTTTTTATATTATAATTAAGTAAAACAAAGTACTTACAAGTTGGTTCAGTTTTGATGTTGTTCAATATGAACAAGAATTCTTCATTTGTCATCTCCATAACATCTATCATACATCAATTAAAGAAGTATATGACAGGGAACAGAACATTAAACCGGTTATATAGTAAAATAATATAATGTGTAGGCGTGAAAAAATGATGAAAGATATCATTTTTTCTCATAAAATATAGCCGACANATGATGAAAGATATCATTTTTTCTCATAAAATATAGCCGACAATGATTATTACTGTAGGCGTCATTTGGGGGTGGCAAGGGGGGGCAGTTGTCACCCCTGAATTTCTGGACCCAGTATTTTGCCACCCCAGAATTTTGAAGTAAAACTTAATTATTTCCAATTATCTAATTAAAAAATATTCTATACATGAAAGATTCTTGTCAATAATAAAAATGATAATAATGCGTATGCGTATCAGTCCTGTATTCGCGTATGTAGTAGGGCGATGGTTAGCTGGCACGGCTGCGGGGAAACACCTGAGTGATGACACCGCGACTGTGTCGTAATATTGTTATTGTATATAAATATATTATGTACATATGTACAAAAAATGTTTACAGAAATAGTACCCTTATCAACGTCGCGACAACATTAACAAGCTATACTAGTTTCCTAGAAAGATTATCGGTTATTTCCATCTTAAATGGTATAGCCACTATTTTTGCTATTGAGCAGAGTTAGTTGCTAGAGTAGCTTTATGCCAGTTTTTTATTTTTGTGATCAAAGACATGGTAAGTTTATAAAATTAATTTTACAGGTTTAATTAGTTATGTATAAGTACGGTATTTTAGTTCTTTATCGTATTATTCACTATTGTCAGAGCCGGCTTGGTAAAATCGGGGCAACGTGCAAAATATTTTTGCGGGGCCTATTTAGTGGTTGAAATTTTTTTAAGACCTTTTTTTTTTTT